TCTTTCCTTTTTCTTTTTTTCTTTTCCTGTAGAAAAGCAAAAGACCCAGGATGTGCCTTCAAAGTTGAAACGAGGACAGTACAGGTGCCGAGTCCACACACACACACACACACACACACACACACACACACACACACCATGCCTTCCAGAGTCTGGCACTTTCTTTGCCTGTGTGGCTGCATTGTTCCTCCCTAGCTGCTCCTCCTAGCTGCTCGCTTTAGCACAGGCGGTCATTCCATATCCTGTTTACGGTAGCGCAGCCCAGCTGGAATTCGGCAAGAGGGCACTGGAAACACGGAGTGCTGATGTGGGGAGATCCCATTGAAAGACCCCAGGCTGACATCCCCACACCCCAGGGACCTCCTGTCACGGTCTGGGGTCCCACCGTTGTCTGGAGTCTTGTGACTTAGTCAGCACTTGCCCTCAGTTCCCTAGGCAAGAGGGAAGAGGGCCCAGGCTGAATTCAAGGTCCTAGCCTCCATCCTGGGGGCCATCCAATCATCTTCCAGGCTTCCTGTGATGTGATACAGGTGGGCGGGACCTGCGGGCCTCTTTTGGCAAGTGTCCCTCAGCTGCACCCATGAGGAGTGACTTGTTTTGATAAAACACATTCAAAGCCTCTCTAGGGCTTATTAGCATGCCAGTCACAACCTGGGCCCCCACATGTTCATCAGGACCCCAAGATGGGCTGCAGATCAAGATCTTATCAAAAATGCTGCCAGTTCCACTCAGTTGACAGTCCTGGCTTTTCCGTTTCTTCTTTGTGAACTGGCAATGACAGGCAAAGGTCACTCTGAAGGCAGGAGAAAGGTCTGCCCTGTTGGATGCTTAAAAATTAGCTTCCAGAAGTCATAAAAGCAGTTCTCGGAAGACTTGCCCAGAGGCCCCTGAGATGCACCTCCATCACCTGCACTGAGCTGTAAGCACATCTGGGACAGAACCCTAAACTCACTTTCAGGAGTGAGCTACAAGCCCATCCGGGATGGAGCTGTAAACACTTTTGGAACTGTGTCCGCCACACATGAGAGTTGGGGGTGGAGATGCTCCTGGGGACTCAGGGATTTCAGCAGTCCAGGACTGGGTCCCATCTTTCAGCATCTACCCAGAGCTGAGTACCCAGTGGTTATTGGGACAGACGTGGGAAGCACAGACTTCAACCGTTTAATCCTCCAAGCTGGCCTCCAGCTTCCCGATGAGGCGCTGGTAAGTGTCTCTCTCCACTTGCCAGGAGTGGTATGTCCTCACGTACTCCCTTCCATTGGTCACGATTTCCTTCTCCAGCACGGGATCACTGACCAGTCTCTTTGCCAACTGAATGAACTCCTGGAAGACAAAAAGTGGATGAGAAACATGCCTGAGTGATGAGCGGAAGGGAACCTTAGGAGCTGTCTGAAAGCCTGTATCTGCACCAGTTCCCGGTCATTCTCCCATCCCATCCCCCGTCACTACCACCCCTGCCCCGCATCTGCCTCACAGTCTAAAGAAACAGTGCTTTCAATGGGATATCAGAATAGCGCAAGCACTGAGATTAAGACACACTGTGTATGTCAGGCTGGCAAGAAGGCTCAGTAGGTAAAGGTACCTGCCACCAAGGCTAAATACCTGAGTTCAATCCCCAGGACCCACCTGGTGGAAAGAGAGAACTGACTCCAATACATTGTCATTTGACCTCCATGTGTGCGCTGTGGCATGTTCACACCCACCCACCCACACACACACACAAAAAAAAAAAAATAAAAATAAAAATGTTAGTGTCTATATGTGTGTGGACACACAGATAAATATGTGTGCATGCACACACACACATGCATATGCCATATCTATAACCATATGCTCACACTGTTCTTGTGGTTTTGCAGTGAACAACTATAAGAAGCAGCATGCACACACACACACACACACACACACACACACACACACACACACCATTTGTGCCCATAAACACCTGCTGGAAACACCCAGGGAAAACCCTAGAGCTGTCAATCATGCCTCTTTCCAGTCTTCCTTAATCCAATAAGAATCATCCCTTGAGCCTATTTCTGCAGTGGGTGGTGCTTACACATAGACGCATAAGTGGGAGTGAGGGAGGGACAAGAGGGGGCAAGTGGGGAGTATGCTCTAAATGCATTAAATATATATAATTAATATATGCCAATGAAAGAACTTTTTTTTAAAATCCCATCTCCTTTCTTTGCAGTGATAGAAGCTGTGATTTCTTTGCTTTTCTTACGGCCCCAGCCAGAGACCATTGCCTCACAGTGGGTACAAAGAGCCTCATACTTGGGCACCCCTAGCGCAGAAGGGCGCTCTGGGATTCAGGGTGAAATCTGTGTTTGAGTTCCGCATTGCATTACTCAGTGTCTGCCTTCCAACATGCTAGTTCCCACCTCTGAGTTCACCCCATCACCTGTGAAGGAGCAAAGGCCACCATCCCCGCAGGCTGAGTGCCGAGCCTGGGAAGACCCTGGGTTTTTGTTTTCTCGCCTCGGCTCCTGTAGCTTCCCGTCGGACCATGTGTGTATTATTAACCGATGCATTGAGAGGCTCCTGCTGACCAAGCCTTCATTTCAAAGCCTTTCATAATTAGGACATTAAGATGAATCCTGATATCAAAGTTTGTTTAGGGAGAAGAGGGGAGTACACGTTATTTATTATGCTTGCCTGGAATTCTCAGGAGGGTTGAGGCAGGAAGCTGGCTTAAGTTCCCAAACTCCCCTTCCTGAAGTTGGCACGGAGGCTTGCACATGGCCCTCAACTGACAGCCACAGTTGCTACAGAATGTCACGCTGATGGGGCTGGGGCAATGGCTCAGTTAGGAAAGTGCTTGCCTTGTAAACATGAGGACCTGAGTTCCATCCCCAGCATCCTATATAGCAAGGGACTTCCATGTGGCGGCACACACTTTTAGTCTCAGTGCTAGAGAGGCAGAGACGGGTGGATCTCTGGGGCTCAATGGTCAGCCAGCCTAGCCTACTTGTGAATTCTAAGCCTGGCATAACAAAAAACAAGCAATCGGGTGCAGTGGGATGCAGTGTCTGGGGAACAGCAGGGAAGGTTATCCTCTGGCCTCCATATGCACCCCAGCACCGCATGCATACTTGTGCCCACAAGACACACATATACACACATACATACACACATACATACACACACACACACTCAGACTCTCATGCAAAAAGTCAAACACATTTAATTACTATTATTCTCTTACTCCCTCAGCTCAGGTAAACTCCAACCAGAAGACAGTGCCTGAGACTTTACTGTCAAGTAGGAACGTCCACAATATTCTCAAAATTATTGTTAATTAAATGTTGAATGCCTTTTATAGCTGGCAATATAAATAGCAACATTTATGTGGGTGGGATTTTATTTTTATGTACTATGTACACATTTTCTAGTAAATTGGTGCTCTTTTCACCATAAAAACATAACATATTTATTTTCACCGCGTGGCAGAACAGCATTCTTATTAAAATAATTTGAGGGGCTTAGCACTCGGGAATATTACTTTATGACATCGGCCATATCTGTGATTTATCTAATGTGAAGGATTGGGCTAAAGCGGGGACTTTTGCTTACTATCGCTACAAAATGCAGGGCAATTTTAGAGCAAAATCCTGAATGATGGGGGATAGGCTCTGATAAAGCACCCATTTACTTATTTATTTATGTATTTACTCACTCAGCAATGACGTCTGGGAAAAGAGGGTTTGAAGCAAGAAAGATTAGGAGCTAGAAATCAGATGGACCTTACAACTGCCTTAATGAGAACATGAAAAAAGATGGAAAGAAGAGAAATAGCCAGATCAAGAAGAAAGGAAGAAAGAAAGAAAGAAAGAAAGAAAGAAAGAAAGAAAGAAAGAAAGAAAGAGAAAGAAAGAAAAAAGAAAAGAAAAGAAAATCTTAGTCTTACAGTGACCATCTACTGAGCCAGGATATTGTCCCTGTGCGCAGATGAGCTACCTGCCACTCATCCATTGGATCTTGATCAAGGACTGTCTGCAAAGTTGGCTGCCACCGGCCCTCCAGCCCTTATGCAAGGGTCTTTACATTGTAGCATCTGTCACTCCTCCCTGTTGGAGTCAAGGCCCTATTTCCCCTCCCCATAACTGCAGTGGACAAGCCTGGGCTCTTGCTTTCAACAGCATGGTGTGTCAGAAATGATGCTGTTTTTGACTTGCAGGCAAAGCTTTGAAGAAAGAAACCTTAGAAGATTTTAGAAGTAAAATCTAGCTTTAGTTTCTTTTCTGCTCTCTCAAGTCTCCTTGGAAAATGATGCAGAAAGATGCTTGGGGCAGCCTCACTGAGGATGAGACACCAAGGACAGAATCAAGGCCAATGCAAGAGGAACACCATCTTGTAAGTAAGTGCTGGGTGGTTACCCAGCCCCTGCACAACTATGACACAAGTTGACTCATGGGTCTGGCAAATGGCCCCCACTGGACTAGCAGAAGTGTCTCAATGGGACCCAGCTGCTTAATCAGCCACAAACACCCCAGCCTGCAGACCAGCACTTACTTTTTCCTTCCTCTCAGATGAAATGACCACCTTCTAGTGTAATGCGGTCCAGGGAGACAACTTAGACCCAGCACCCATGGATGGCCCGATCTGTCCACACTGACTATGGGGCTGTGGCTTGCCAACCCATTTCCTTGACTCAAGGAGAGAATAACCCTGAGAGTCACTCCCAACCAGCAGGAGCCATGGCAAAGGTCAGGAGCAAGAATGCCTTTGACTGGTCCACACTCCATGGCCTCCCGTAAGTCCAGGCTATGTAGGCGATATCAGACTGCATGTCTGAAACCTACCAGGAGCCACCACACCAAACAGACCAAAAAACTATGAAGCAAGAACCCCAGAAAAACATCTGTGGAGTGCACACCTAAATCGGGGCAAAGTCATTCAGCCTGGAGCAGTCACAGGTCCCACACAGCTGTCACCCCAGAGCACACCCAAGTGCAGACTTAAACAGGTTAAGTGACTTTTGAGAGAGGTGCTCTCTCTTGGACCTATATTGCACTCTTGAAAGCCACTAGCGGAGATCAGGAAAAGGCAGAGCAGCTGCACGCACTGAGACAATTCAAATAAAAACCATGTACAAAAACCCACTGCTTCAGAGAGCTCAGAAGTGAGCGGCATTATGGATGCTTATAAATCAGCCTTGGGAAAACCATATGCCACCCATCCCCAGTGAGCAGCCAGTAGTGACTTAAGTCACTCAGAAACACAAAGGACACAGCCAACTAAATACAATGAAGGTGCAGACCAGAGCCGCCTCCAAGGTTGCAGGTGTGCAAAGCCTGGCTCAGACAACTGCAGAAAGTTGTTTGTTTTTATGTGATACAAACAAGCATTGTTTATCTTCAGATAAGACAGCTTGAAGTTTACTTTCTTTCCACATCAGACTCTGTTGCTGGTAGATACTGTATCCTTTCTTTCTTTAAACTAACTCACTGAAATTAGTAGCACATGATTTCCGGGGTCATCCACTGAGCTATGAGCAACCTCCCAGTAGCTGCAAACTCCCAGGAATGACTCTCCCTCTTCCACAGCCACAAACGGCCTATAGATTCTGAGCTAGGGCTGCAGCTTCGGGAACCCCCTACTCCATTTGTGCTGGAGTTTTGATTGGCTTGATACTGTGCAGATCTTATGCAGGTATGGCAGCTTGAACACAGAATGTCTTCTGCATCATCTTAGGCATTTGAGCACTTGCTCCCCAGGTGGTGATGCTGTTTAGGGAGGTTTAGCTGACGCAGTCTTGCTGGAGGAAGTAGATTACTGGGGGGCAGGCTTTGATATTAAAAAAAAAGACTCCACAAGCACTAATTTGCTCTCTGCTTCTTGATTACAGCCAAGGCTGCAGGCTCTCCACTTCCTCCACCTGCCCTGTGCACCATGCTGTCCACACCATTATGGACTCTAGCCCTTGAGAGCTGTGAGTCAAACATGAAATAAAACAACCTCTTTCTTCTCTAAGCTGCCTTGGCCATGATGTTTTAATCATAGCAACAGAAAACTAAGACACACATCCTGGCGAGACCATGGGTGGAACAACCCTGTCCTGCCCAGCAGGCAGCGTTCCACAGCCCTCCTCCTTAGCCAATGGCCCTGCCCTCCAGGAGCCTGGGGGCTGCTGAGATGCAGCTGGCTCCTTTACAGATAATTAAAAGAAGAAGTTCAAACCACAGGTCTGGGGTGCTATGGTGGGAACCTAGCCACTACCTGGACCAAGGAGAGCTCTTCAGCAAAGGAGCTAGCATGGGAATGGCCTTCTGTGCAGAGACCAGCCCCTGTGGGCCACAACCAGTGGATCTGGGCAGAGGAGGGCATGATGGGCACTAGGCAGGGCCCCCAGCCTGGCCTAGAAGTATATCACTCCCTGTATGTGATGGGAAGCACAGAGGGTTCTCAGATGTGCTGGGTGGAACTAAAATTTCAAATGTTTCAAACAGGTTTCTTTGGCTGCCCAGGGCCAGGAAAGGTGCTGCAATGGAAATGGCTGTTGAAATAAATAGCCCAGGTAGGACCAAGTGCTGCCTGGCTTTGGTTCTGTCTTGGAGACAAAGCCCATAGGAAACACAAGCAGAAGCACCAGGCAGGTGACTGAGCCTGCCTATAGTTCCCACCTTCCGCTCTAGTACTATCCTGCCCGTGACAGCCCAAGGGCATCCTCCAAGAGACACTTCAGACACCTGCTGATTTCCAGGGTACTCACCAGCCAGCACCTGCTCCCATAGAGCGACCCTGTTTTGCTCTGATTCAGGGATGCCATTGTATCTGCCACACACCTGGGTACCAAAGCTGTCCACCGACCTCTGTGCCTGGTGTAGGATCATGCAGTGGGATCGGCTGAGCTCTCACAGGGCACAGGCAAACTGCAAGAGTAAGGGAAGGGAACCATCCCTCTGGACCACACAACTGGCCCCTTCCCCAGGCTGCAAGTCTGTGTCCAACTCATCTTTTGTCTTAGCAATAATACTGACAAGAGCTTTTCTTGTTAGCAGGCGACTGTGCAGAAGCTGGGATGGTGGGGACACCATGGAGCTCACTGGAGAAACCATGCACCCTCTTTCCCTCATATTTTGTGACAATTCTTGACTAGAAGGATTCTCCTGATATTGCCCCTGATCCCCTGAGAGTTAGGCCCACGCTGAGCCCAGGTGATGGGTCCAGGCCTGTGCTAACCCCAGGTACAGCTTCTGTTTTCCTGAGGTATGAGCCCCATCCAGCCATACTCATCAAGCCCAGGCTCCAGGGGTCACTAGGGGTGACCAGACTGTGCCATCTGTCTCCAGCAAAGGGCAGGGGTGAGCCTCAGACAGGAAAAGTCTTGATGAAACTGGATAAGTAGGGGCTGAGAGAATTTACTGTGGGAGACTGCTAGGTGGGAAAGTGCCAGAATTCCTTCTGAAAGGAATGCAGAAGGGAGAGGGTAAAGGAGAGAGCAGAGGATGAAGGGATGGAGGAAGGGAGGGAGGATAGAGTCACAGAAGTAGAGGGAGGTGAGAGCAATGATCAGCACTTGTTTGGGGTGAGATGCGTGTGCTTACATGCATGCATGCATGAGTACATGTGTGTATATCCATTTCTGCATCTCTCCCCTGGGATTGACCACTAAGAACAGGAGATGGACTATAACAAGCCCTTTATAAGCATTAGCCACTGCCCCCACTAATATCCCAAAGTTGATTTCTCTACAGTTGTCTGAAGAGCAAATAGAAAACCTGCTAGGGAATAAGCGTGAGCCTCTTTTTGAAGAACGCAACCCTGGCAGAATATGAATCACTGCTTCTATTAAATGTCGTATGGATCTTAATTTTGAAGCTATAAAACTAAGCTATAAAAACACCCAGGAAAGTCACTGGACTCGTTTCTTCTTAAATGGAGAAATAACCAGATTGTTGAGGTAATGAGAAATCAATGCTGAGCGGGTTTGGAGAGCTTCGTTTAATTGAAATTTTCCAGAGGTGAAGTATACAAAAACAGAGATTATTCTGTGCCTACAACCATGAAATATGCTTAGTCATCAGCCTTTCAGGTGAAAAAGATAGCTATAAAGATATAAATAGAGATTAGATAGATATAAATATTAGATATAGATATATAGGCATGCGTAAACATATATAGATTTATGCATACATATATAGATATGCATATACATTAGATATAGAGAGAGATATTAGATATTAGATAGGCATAGACAGTTGAAGATACAGACATAGACAGAGAGAGATAAGTAGACACAGATGACCCAGTAGGCTCTCCTTGTAAGGTTCCCAAAGCAAACATCCTGTGATGCTTCAGTTTCTGTCACCTGGACCCAAACTAGTGTCACCTGGGGAAGAGGGACCCTCAACCGAGAAATTCTCGCCATCAGATTGGCCATCAGATTTTCTTGATTGTTGATTGATGTGGGAGGGTGCAGCCCACTATGGGTGGTGCCACTCCTGGGCAAGGTGATACTGGGTTGTATAGGAAAGCAGACTGCAGGCCAGGTGGTGATGGTGCACACCTTTAATCCCAGCGCTTGGGAGGCAGAGGTAAGGGGATCTCTGAGTTTGAAGCCAGCCTGGTCTACAGAGTGAGTTACAGGACAGCTAAGGATACACAGAGAAACCCTGTCTCGGAAAAGAAGAAAGGAAGGAAGGAAGGAAAAGAAGAAGAGAGGGAGGGAGGGAGGGAGGGAGGGAAGGAAGGAGGGAAGGAGGGAAGGAGGGAAGGAGGGAAGGAAAGCAGACTGAGCAAACCATGGGGACAAACCAGTAAGCAGTGGCCCTCTATGGTTCCTGTTTTGGCTCCTCCGTGGGTTACTGCTCTGAATTCCATCGATGACGGACTGTTACTGGGATGTGTAAGCCACATAAAACCTTTTCCTCCCCAGATTGATTTTGGCCGTGGCGCTTACCATGGCAATCAAAAACAAACTAATACAATCCTTTCCTTCCAGATTCCTCTCTATGCTCCCACAGGTAGCTGTCACAGGGATAAGGATGCGTGTTAGGGGGAGTACAGGTTTTGGTTTTCCCATTCTTATCAAGGAACAAGGGCTTAGGGGCAGGTCCTGTCTCAGGTGCTAGAGAACCACATAATGCAGAGGCCCAAATCCCAAAAGTGGGAATCCAAATCGTCTCCATTTCTCGACGGCAGAAATCACCCTGGAAGGCTGGCACTCTAAAGGGGTGGAGAAGAAGGTTGGAGACAGAAAGGCAGACACAAAACCAATGACGGAGTGCCCCGTTTCACACAGCTGTCACCGAGGATGAACTTCTGATCCTCCCAAATGCTGGATTTGTAGACACACACCACTATGTCCTGTTTCATGCATTGCTAGTACCTAAATCCACAGTTTCATGTGTGCTAGGCTGACAACCTACTAACTGAACCGCATCCCAACGTCTAAAATGATCCTCTTTCTAGAGGTCAATACAGCCACACACCCAGCTATGCTACATGGTCCATGGGTTGCCCTTGCCCTCCTCCTCCCTCAAGTTTCCATGGTGCCTGGCCAAATTCAATTTTTCTGTTCCCCAAACCAAGGCCCCTTTCTTCTGCTGCCTGTCCACTGGAGCTACTCTGAGCTCCCAGACTCTGCCCAAGGTTCCTGGCCATGTACCCCACCCCCTTACCCAGCCTCTACCTTCCCAATCTCTTTGAACTCTTCAGCCCTTCATCTCCAGCCCTACATGGAGAGATCAAGTTTCTTTATGTTCCCAATTAAGAAATAACAGCTAACGCAGAATGAGTAACTATATTTAGCCTGGATTCAAAGACCATTTTTGCGTACGCATTATTTATGTCCTATGCATTTCATATACATATTTTAACGCCCAGAGCTGGTGGTCTGGCAGAACAGTTCTTCTTAATAAATGAAATGCTGATTCTCATACATATTTGAATGCATATTTGAAATCACATTTGCCCTCCCTACAGCCAACCAGTGAGTGGCTAAAGTCTGAGTTCCACGGTGGTTGAGATGAATACAATGCCAGCCTTAAGTTCCTTAAAATTTGCATTATTTGTTTTTAAAGCATCCTATTCCGCCACACACCAGATAATGTCTGGTGGAGATGACGGGGGCAACAAAGTACGGGCAACATCCGTGTCTGGAACACCGTTTCAGAGTGTGAAGAATCGCAGCTCTCCCCGCCTAGAACAGGGAAGGCCTGCTGTTCTAAACATCCTCGCTAAAGCCAACGCGAAGACGCTGAGTTGAAACACATCTGCAAGTAAGTTCTGTAGTCGGGGTGCGGGGGTGGGGCTGTGTCTATGGCTCGTGGGGGCTGAGAGGGTTGACCTGAGAGGACCTGAACACAAGAGAGGCACAAGAGAGGCAGGGAGCTGTGCCTCCAGACCCCCGATGCACACAGCATCACAAGGCACCAGAAAGCCAGAGTCCCTTCTCTTCTGCTCCACCCTGCCCCAGACAACCATTTAAAAGAACACCTTTAAAAAAACATCTGGTTTTATTTATTTATTTATTTATTTATTTATTTATTTGTCTATTTGCTTGTTTATGTGAGGTTAGCCATGTTTTGCTTTTTTAGGCAAGGTGTCCTATAGCTCAGGCTGGTCTTGAACTAGTGCTATAGCAGGGGTTTGACCTTGAACTTCTGATCCTCCTTCTGAATGCTCTGTGACCGGTGTGCACTGCCAAGCCTGGCTTATGCATGCCAAGCAAGTCACTCAGCCACTGAGCTACAACAGTCAGGTCAGAGGTACCTGGATTTCTAAATGCTGCCTGTCCTTCCAGGGTGAGAACAGAAACCACAGAACTTGCCGGGCACCTTGGTGCACAGCAGGAGCTGAGAGGCTTGCGAGGAACCCAAATTTATGGCTATCCTTCATACAGACAAACAGAAATGGCACCAATGAGGCCAGTGTGGGGAAAGGACTCTCTTTACCTGAGGGGTTGTGAACAGCAGTCCCGTGACTCCGTGCTCTACCACAGCCGAGTTCCCAGGGATGTTCCTAGCCAGCACGGGAACTTCCAAATCCATCGCCTGGGAAGGTGGGAGGACAGAAGACGGGGGTTGTCACTCAAGAGTCAGACAAGGGGGCTGGAAGCTTGCTCAGGTGGTAAAGTGTTTGCCATGCGAGCATTAGGACCCCAGTTCGATCCCCGAGGCATCGTGTTAAACACATAACCACGCATGGCGGTGCATATCTATAATCTCAATCCCAGGTGTGGAGCTGGGGACCTGCAAGACAAGGGGATCCCTGGAGCTTACTGGCTAGCTGGTCTAGCCTCATTGTTAGACTCCAGGTTATGAAAGATTCTAGCTCAGAAAAACTAAAGTGGATGCGACTGAAGAGATGGTTCAGGGGTTACATGTGCTTGCTGCTTTTGCAGAAGATTGGAGTTCAGGTCCCGGCACCCAAGCTGGACTCTAGATCTGGGGATACAACCCCCTCTTCAGGTCACCATGGCCACTCCCACACATGTACACATATCCCCACATAAACACATAGGAGTATACATATTGGAAAGTAAAAATAAATCTTTTTTATTAAATGGCAAATTCTAAGCACAGACAAGCTCCGAGAATATGAACACACTGAGAAGCTGGTCCCAGTAGCACTGCAGCTGGCAAGGCCCTGCGCTAGACGTGTTTGGAAATGGGCATCCTCCTCCCATCCAGAGCAAATCCGCAGAGTGAGCAGGGAAAGACAGAGGAGGGGGTGAGCTTGGCGCTCGGGATAGACACACAAATATCAGAACACAAGACCCCACAGCCTCCCTCCAGAAACAGGCTCACCTGACCTCCCTAAACCAGCTCAACCTCCTCTTATGGGGTGGACGGAAGGCCCTATATGGCTCTTTCAAAATCTCTGCAGCCAGCCCCCCACCCTTATCAGAGCTATCTGGGGTTTATAGAAACAGTCCTTATGTTTCATGGCTGAGAAGTCATGAGAAACACCCAGACTTTGGGGACACACAGCTCACCTGCGTGTGTCTGGGGGGGGGGGGGCTTGCTCGTCAATTCTGGGTCACACCTGATAAACACTTCCCTCTCTGTATGTTCTCAAAGAGGGGTTTGCTTTGCTTGGATTCTGGTGACATGCATGACCGTCCTGAGGGATCACTGGTAGTGTGGGGAAATGACTGAAGACATAGGTCACACAGACGCACAGAACCGTGCAGAGGGTGTTTTAGGTGGGTGTTGGCCAGCAGCTGATGATACGGTTTTTCTACACCAAAGACTATACAGCCCCTTGCAAAAGTCCTCATCTCCTGCAGCATGCACATCCCAAATAAATGCCCTCAGCACATCTTTCCAGTTCTGACGCTCTCTCCCTCTCTGCCTCCCTCTCTCCATCCCATCCTCCCTCCCTCCTCCTCTCACACACTCTGACACAAAACGGCACAAGCATCTTGAAACCCTCTTCCAGGGTCCTTCAAGGTTCTCCAATCACCAGAGCCAGCGCTACCCGCTAAGGTCAAGCATTCTCCTCCTTGCTCTTAGCTTTTGAGCACAGCCCTCCTTTCACCCAGGGGGCAAAACCTGACCCAGAAGGTACGGTGTACGTCTGTGTACGACTGTATCTATGTTGGTGCTCCAAACAGGAACACCAGGAAATGAAGACCATCTTTCACATCCTTTGTGTGTGGAGGGGTACGTACGGGTGTGTAGAAGACAGAGGAAAGCGTGAAGTGGTTTTCCTCAGGAACTGTATCCCTCGTTGTTTTGAGACGGCATCTCTCACTGGCCTGGAGCTCACAGATTCTATTAGGCTGACTGTCCAGTGAGCCCGGGGGGGGGGGGTCTGCCTGTCTCCACTCTCCTCTGTCCCCAGCCCTGGGATAACACTTACAAGCAACCATGCTGGCTTTCCCTGTGTGTCCCGGGGATTGACCTTAGTGGGTAGTGCCAGGTTTAGTGATTGGAGGATCTTGAAGGACCCTGGAAGAGCGTTTCAAAACACTTGTGCCGTTTTGGTATCAGAGTGTGTGAGAGAGGAAGAGGGAAGGAAGGAGGGAGAGAGGGACAGAGAGAGCAAATACTTTACTGACTGAACCTTCTCCCCATCCCCTTCCTTTTAGGTAATTCTATGTGGGGCTCAAATCCACAATCTGCATAAATGGGAAATGCCTGGCAGGTTTTTAGCAATAACCAACCATCCAGTCGCTGAGCATCCGGCCGAGATTTGGTTTTTTTGAGTTTTCAGTGAGAGGCCTGCTTTTAGGCAAGGGGCATGTGTACTTGCCGGCACAGGAAAGCAGATTCAGAAAAGTCAAAAGGTCACCTCCCTGACCAGTTGATGGCACATGCTCTATGATTAACTACCCTGGCCATCTGAAGTAATTCTGACGAGAAAGACACGCTTATCCCTCCCGCTAAAATCAACCTCATTGAGAGCCCTCCGCCCAAAGGTTATTTTGACTTCTCAAAGGAACGCCGGCCAGCACCATCAACATTTCCAGGACATCAGGATTGCTAACAGCTGCCTTTTCTGTGAGTTAAGCGGAGGCTGAGAGCAATTCCTCTGCAGGAAAAGCTGGTATGCAGCTTAGAAAACCACTCAGCAGACTCCAGGCTTACGGCCTCTTCTTAAGAAATAGCAAGGGGGAAAACGTGTATTTACATACAGGAGAGCAACTGGCACCTGCTCTCCACTGGTTTCAAAGGTAGTTGCTGAGGGGACAGACTGCCGAGGCTGACACTTATCACAGGGCACAGGGAGAGCTGGCTTCTTGGCCAGACACAGAGATGACACAAAGCCATGTCACATACTTTCAGAGCAGTGGATGCAAATTCACACCAACCTGGGGTGGATTACAGCCACCTGCAATTCCAGCGCCAGGGTATCTGGACGCCCCCTTCTGGTCTTCTTCAGCCACTGCACTCACTTGCATATCTTTTTTTAAAAAAAGCAGAGAAGAGAAAGAAGAATAATCCAGTACCCCATCCTCAGCATCTGAGCTGCACCTACCTCCAGGATGGCGGCTGACATGCCCTCGGAGACTGAGCTGTTGACCAGCGCGAAGCAGCTCTTCACCACCGCGTGCAGGTCTTCCTGACACATCTCCCGGATCAGCCGCACCCCTGCAGCCCTGAAAGAACAGAGCAGGGTTGGCATGGTTGTTTCAGCCTGGCTCACTGTCCCACTCAAATTTATGTGAACAATTGAGACTGGGTCCCTTGTTCCTAGCAGAAAAAAAAATGCAATTTAAAAGATACATTGATCAGTTATCTCCAAAGAGTCTATAGACATCAGCCAAAAACAAGTCAGCTCCTTAAATTCTTCCAAATCTTTGTTAAGATTTTTTTAAATTATTTTTGAGACAAGGTTTTTCTGCAGTTTTGGAGTCTGTCCTGGCACTTGTTCTGTAGAACAGGCTGGCCTTGAACTCACGGAGATCCACCTGCCTCTGCCTCCTGAGTGCTGGCATTAAAGACAGGTGCTACCACAGCCCAGCTGATTAATTGATTAATTGATTGATTGATTTGATTTGATTTTTTTAAGGCAGGTTTTCTCTGTAGCTTTGGGGTCTGTCCTGGAACTAGCTCTTATAAACCAGGCTGGTCTCAAACTCACAGAGATTCGCCTGCCTCTGCCTCCTGAATGCTGGGATTAAAGGCGTGCGCCACCACAGCCCGGCTGATTTACAAATATCAGTGTTTGCCTGTCATTTTGCATGTGAACCATGTGACTACAGTGTTCACAGAGGCCAGAAGAGGGCATCAGATCCTCTGGAACTGGAATTATAGGTGATTGTGAGTCACACTATGGATGTTGGGAACTGAACCTGGGTCCTCTACATGAGCAGCCAGTACTCTGAACCAACTGAGCCTTCATCTGTCCCTAAATCTTTGTTATTTTACATTGGTTTTTTTGTTGTTGTTGTTGTTGTTATTATTTGTTTTTGTTTTTTTGTCAGTGTCATCAGTATCAAGTGATCTTCACTAAGCCAGGCATGGAGGCACATACCTAGAACCCCACCATGTAGGAGGCTTCTGATTCCAGTCCAGCCTGGGATATGCAGTGAGACAAAATGGTTTGCTCTGGCCTTTCCGCAGATGACTAGGGAGGTCGGGCATCTTACACTTCGAGTGCATCCATTTATTTGCCTGTACCTTGAGGCCCAAAGCATGACCTTGAGGGATCATAGGGAACTTTAAAGGATGCAGAACTGGCAACCCACTTAGAGCAGAGTCTACCATGGGCAAGGTGGGACTCGTGAACCACTCTGCCATTCACCATTCCTAGTGTGCAAGACGCCACCTGCCTGCCATGCCTACCTCCTCACCCGGTCTTTCACTTCCCTGGTAAACGCTGGATCCACCTGGAAAAAGAGAGGGACAAGAAACACTTAAAACCTCTGACCCTCGGGCTGGCACACGGCTCAGCGGATCAAGGCCCTTGCTGCAAAAGCCTGAGGACCTGGATCCAGAAACTCACAAGGTTGAAAGAGATAACTGACTCCCCAAAGTTGTCCTCTCACTTCCACACATGCGCCATGGCATGTACGCGCGCGCGCACACACACACACACACAGAGGATTTTTACATCCTGACCCTATAGGTGGACACCAGGCAGTGGAGCAGCTAACTAGCATGCATAAAGCCCCGGGTTCAATCAGTCCCCAACACTGAGTAAGCCAAGTGTGACAATGAAAACCCGCACTCTTCACACTTGGAAAGAGGCAAATGGATCAGGCATTCATCTGCTACGTGGCAAATTCCAGGCCAGCCTTGAATATTTAAAAGACCCTGCCTAGGGCTGGGGTGAACCTGATTTAAATCCGAGGCTACAGAGTATTAATGGGCTCCAAGCCCACCCAGTAGTTCAGAAAGGATAAATATAGGGGGAAAAAAAACAGAGGAACAGTCCAAGTCTAGCAGTTACACAATGAGGACAAGAACAGGAAGGAGCAGGGAGCACCTGAACTGTGTGCGCCACCTTCTGTGAGGGTTGAGTCCAGGGACACTACAGGACGTTAAAGGACAGTGGAGCAGTCCTAAGGACAGGACAATTTAAGTGCCCCATCCTTCAGAGGAAGGCTTGCTTTCTTAAACGATGCCGATGGAATCTGTCATAAAAGCAATCAAGAGGATGCAGGGGAAACCTCAGTAAGCCTCTGACAAAGTAGTTCACAGAATCAAAGTTTGTTTTTACCTAGGAGCCTTCTCAGAAATGCAGCTTGCAAATCAAGGACGCGCCCCCTCTGCCAATGAATAATGAAAATATGTTTACCCACAGGAGTGTAATTCCAGACACAAAGAGAAAGGACTAAATTGGGGAGCAACAGAAAAGAATCCAGAAAGCAGGAGCTAGCGCAGGAGTGGTGGTGCACACCTGTGTTACAGCCCTCCCCTCAGGTGTGGAGGCGGGAGGACAGAAGTTCAAGGTCAGACTGGCTCCGGAGTTCAAGGTCAGTTTGATTCGAGAGGCTGTCGAGTAGGACAGTCGTCCAGCTTGTTGATGCTTGCCACAAACCCCACACTGAGACGTCTGGCAAACTACATCAGGCAGACTGGCCCCTCAGTGTCTCCCGCCTGACTGCTAAAATGCTTTTGCAACAATAGAAAAAGCTCTCTTCAGCACAAAATTCTAGAGTCAGCAAGATGAAGATGGCTCAGTGGGTCAAGACGCTTGCCATCAAACCAGACCTGAGTTGGATCTCCAGGACCCACGTGGACCTTGGCTCATGTGCCTCCTCCAAAATAAATATGTAAATAAGTGTCTTTTTTTTTTTTTAATTAGAGCCCAGGAATGATGACATTCACCTTTAATTCCAGTACTTGGGAGGCAAAGGCAGGTGGGTGTCTCTCGTGAGAGCGAGGCAAACCTGGTCTACATAGTAAGTCATCTAGAGCTACAGAATGAGAGCCAGACTCACAGAAAAAAAAAAAGGGGGGGAAGAAGAAAAAAGAGGAAAAATAAAAAAGACTTATTTTAGGTGCGAGATGGCTCAATGACATCTGCATGCAACACATAAATAAAAAGACATCTTTTAACTTTTTTTTTTTTTTTAAATCCTAGACTTTGCTTCAAAGACACAGCAAGGGTGTGAACCCAGCTCAGGAAGGCAGGGTGCCAACAGCCCCTCCCAACACTGGCTCCAGCCGCCTGTGAGGAAAGTAAATCCAATTCCTGTTCTCATTGTGTTCTCATTTCCGCGTTGCCAATAGCCATCGTGAATTACAAGCATGCTGGCTAGCTGCAAGCAAACGCCAGGGCGGCCACTTCTAATGGCAGGTGATAGACTGCCTTCTCCCAGGAACTCGGTTTCACTTTCTCCTGAGAGAAGTGCTATATGGTGGTGCGCCTTGGATCCTTGAGACTGCTCAGATGCTTGCCCAGGATCCCAAAGGGCTGTTGTCCCTGTTAGGGTTGCTGATGTCCCTGGGGCCACTACATGCCTAGGAATCTGAAGGGCTACATCATATCAAACATGAATGCGTAAGAATTTGTAATTATTCCTAGGAAGATCTGTGCAGAGAGAGGCTCATAGTTACGAACAGCAAATCACTGCTATTTCGGCTCTTAATAATTAATACTCTGTAGCCACATAGGCTAGAAGAAAATGTGCCAAGTCCTTTAGAGTTGTTAAATTGGTTCTAGCAACAATGTTACTACCAAACACTTCCACCCAGGAGGACTGAGAGAAGTTGTGTAACTAACTTCACCAGGGTCCCAGAGCAGGAAAGCTATTGGACCAATGTTTCCACCTGGGCAGATTGCAAGTCAAGCAATCCTAGAAAGTTTGAGGGACAGAGGCTGGAGAGATGGCTCAGTTGGTAAATGATTGCCTTGTAACCATGAAGACCTCAGTTCAATCCCCAGAACCCACATTTTAAAAAGCCAGGTGTCAGGGCTGGAGAGATGGCTTTAGTGGCGAATAGCACTTGTTGCCCTTACAGAAGAATGGGTTCCCGGCATTCATACTGGGTAACACTCAAAACCATCATCTGTAACTCCAGTTCCATGGGATCTGGGCACTGTCTTCTGGCTCCCATGAACCCCTACGCTCAAGTGGTGATGATGTATCTTCACACACACACACACACACACACACACACACACACATACATACAGAGAGAGACTGAGATTTATATGTGTATGTATGTATGCATGTATGTATGTATAATTTAAACCTTAAAAATCAAGGTATTATAGTGTATGCTCATAATTCTAGCTTGGGGGATAGGGAGTAGAAGATACTTGACCCTTCCTGAAGAGTCTGCTTAGCCAGATCTCTGAGCCCCAGAACCATTAAAGATTCTGTATCAAAACAAAAGGTGGATGGCCCTCCATAGGAATGTGCACTAATTCAAGCACACATGCGGCTGGACACACACACAGAGTAAAGGCCCATGAAATTCCTGCCACCTTCCTCACTATTCCCCCTCTGGCCAACCTGTGTCCCAGCCTCCAGGATACAGTATCTCTGAAATGCTTTTAATCCCTGTTACTACCCAGACTAGAAGCACGACCACCTCCCCAACTATCCTGCTACCTGCCACGGAGGATCTCCATCTATAATAGCTCTGCCTCTTTCTTCTGCACCTCTGTCTCCTTTCCTGGATCCCATGCAGTGACTAGAACATCCCATGCATGAGAACTCCTTTGCCACTTCCCATTCTCGAGGCCTCAGGCTCCAAGTATCCTAAGCAACTAGATCTTATTACAACCCTCGCATGAAACCCTCCTTCTGGGCTGGCCAGATGGCTCAGTGGACAACTGTGCTTGCCACCGAGCACAGTGACTTAAGTTTGATCCCTGGGACAGCCCCATCCTCCCCACCCCAGAAAGCTGTCCTTTGACCTCTAGACACATGCACCATGTCATGTACATATGTACACACACAGATAAAAATCAACAAAAAGCTGCAAGCCTTTCATTCCACATGACTTCATGTTAACGTCATATGTGGGGGGAGGGCACTTCAGCCAGGTCATCTTTGCATCTTTACGAGCATGCTTTGGCTCTCTTGATGAACGATTCGGGGGAAAGATGATTTGTCAAGCAAACAAGCTGGTGCTCTGAGACGGCTGAGATGCAAAGCCGGTGCATAGCTAAGAAGCGAAGAGCGAGCCCTAAGATGAAACCACAATCAGCGCTGGGTTTCGCTGGGTTTACTTTCCACGTCAGTTCATTTTCAAATCTCTTAGTGAAGCCGAGTGGAACAAAACACGAGATAAAGAGCCAAGGAAGAGGGGATGCTGTTACTTAATGAAATTCTTAAAGGGGGAAAAAAAAACACCGAAAGCAGCAAGAGAAAAATTCTCATTTCCTCCTTCTAAGCTTGTTTATTTCCTAACAAAATATATTGTTTCAACTCTCTCGGGCTTAGAGGAAATAATCTTCACAGGAGAAGTTACCGGGCAAAGTCATTAAGCTGTCATGCCCAAAGCAAACGTTCTGGCCTCCAGCGCGCTTATCAAAGAGCCGGGAAAGGTCCTGTACAAGATGCCCTGTGAGCAGGAACACGTGCTTCTCTCAAACGGGGAAACTGAGAGATCAAAGGAGCATTATTGAAACTCCAAGCCGAGCTCAGAGCACCCTGCAGCTAGAACTGGATTTCAGCAGTCAGAGCAGGAAGGGACCATTGGCGACAAAGTTCTTTCCCTCCCTGTAGCCACAGGACACTACCCCAAGGACAAGAACTGTTCAAGTTTTCACTCATAGCGAACTGGGAGGCAGGGACTGCTGTCTCAGTCATTTCTGCTTTGCAGATGGGGAAACTGAGGCACGTGGTTAACTCAAGAGCAGCTAGGTAGCTTTCCCTGAAGTCAAAGAGAGCCATGACATCCTTCACCATACAGCCACATGGTACCTCAGCAGGCACCCGGCACCCACCTGCTACACACACATACATAATGCAGGTCAAACAGTCATATGCATAAGTGAAATAAATCTTGAAAATAAAATGTGTGTATGCATAAACAGTTTTGGATTTTGTTGTAACTGTCCTGTTCAGCCCCCATCTCATCCCGCCTGCCCATGGCTCAACCTCACTTCTCCCCCACTGAATAGGGTCTGATGGGTGGCCTCTCACATAGTGGCCCTGTCCCTATGAAATAGCAGCCTGACACTCTCCTGAGCCCTGAGCCTTGAGCCTGGAACACTAGCCAGGTCTAAGAGGCAAGGTGGGAGGGCCTCTTTTCTCCCCTTGAGTGACATTTATCACCATGGGGCGTACTGTGCTCATTTCAAGGCTCTTCAGCATCCCCCGTGATTTCTCCATTGAGCTCGTAAAATGTCCTCTGGCATGCTTTGAGCTGGGAACCTTTTATGGTACTTGTGGCAGGGGCATGTGAATAAACCTACTCAGTATCT